CAGGACCATATGTGCACACACAGGCTGATGGAAACAATAAATCAGTAAAGAAAGGCCAGCAGGAAGGTGAAATATTATACAGTGATAACTAAAATTAGAAAGGAACCAAAGGAAAAAACAAAAATGGGTTATCATTTTGTGATGGTCTTGTGATCTGTCCAGAGTATACCCCACCCCTCACRCAGTAACTGCTGGATGTGAGCACCAGTGACCCTGAAAGGAAGAAGTGGGTTTAGATAATGATGGATGGGTTATCAAAAATGCATTTAAGACCAGGAAAAAATATATAATTCAAAGACTACTAGTTAACCAGCACTGATGCCTCACATCAAGAAGGTCCTTGGTTTTATCCTCAGTTTGGACATGTGGGCTTTCTGTCTGGAGTTTGTATATTCTCCTCAGGCTTGCTTGGATTTTCTCCAGGTACTCTGGTTTCTTCCCACAGGCCAAACACATGCCAGAAAGAATAGTTAGAATAGTGTGTACGTTAATAAACATGATGTATTGCGTCTTTAAAATGTTTTGACATGTAAAACTATCTACATTTTTAAAAAGAGGGGGTACACATTGTCTCCAGTTCATAGCAAGACCACATTCCAACATCCTTCACATTTTTTGGACTGTATGAGGAAACCAGAGGTTCATGGAGAAAATCCTCAAATGCCAAGTCAGAACACTTAACATTTTGCTTTAACAATTGTAAATACAAAATTGGTTTATTAACTACTAATTATTGAATGTTTATAGCAATTTTAGTGACCCCATGTCCCTCACTGACTTGTTTCCAAGCTCTTCCCAGTGATTTTCCATCTTTTCAGTCTGCTGGCATCCCTGAAACTGACACTCCTCCCCCTGCAGACCACGGCACATTAGATGGGACCTGCCAACGTAGACTGATTAAGAATAAAATCTACAGCATCTTATTGTACATAATGAAGGATCTGAACTTTTAGAAAATAGCCTGCTCCTCTTTTTTTTGTACATAGCATTAGTATTGGAGCTTCAGTCCAGCCTGCTGTTCAGATTTACTACCAAGTATTTGTATACTTCTACAACTTGGCCCTGGTTGTGGGCTCTTTTAGCCCACCATTTCCTTTGTCTTGAACACATTCATGATTTCTGCAAAATCACTTCACAAAGTTGTCCTCCAGCTCCTTGTACTCTGATTATTGCCCATCTCTAACCATCATAAACCTAAGCCTAGATATTTATTTTGTTAAGATGAAAAGATGCCCGTTTAGAAAGGACAGCTGAAATGAGAAAAGAGAACAAAAACACTGCTAGGATTTAAACCCAGGATTTCCTGTTTACAAAATGTTTTGTGTGAGTAAAAAAGCCAGAACCCAACATGCAGCCAAAACAAAGAGGTTTTCAAAAGATTTGTTAGAAGACATGATAAGATGGTGTTGTTGTGGTCCTACTTAGATCTAGTTGCACTGGTGGATCTGGAATACAAAAGCAGAGATGAGTGTCATGCTGGATGAGAACCAGGGAAAACAATAAGGGGGCTTACCAGGAATCAGGGATTCACAGGGTCCAAGAATCCAGCTTCTGCAGAGTTGGGTGAGCTGTGAAGGAGTGGCCTGGAGGGTTTCAGAGATGTTCACTGAAAGCAGAGGTTATTACTTCCACAATCTACTATTTCATGATCCAAAAACAGTACAGGGTCATGCGCAGGAGGGTCTCAGGCAAGGAAAAGCCAGAATGCAATAGACTAGAAACAGGGTCTGAGTCTGGCATGGTTCAGTAACTGGTCAACAACTCTACTCATACTTGTAAGGTCCAGGCTAAAGCAGTGGCAGGCAAAGTGGTGTCCGCCAAGTGCAAACGTGCATCAAACACATGAATGATGCAAACTCCAAAACACACAAAAGAACAAATGCAACAGAAAAATTATGAAAAAAGTGCTGTAATCACAGAAAATAAACAAGGAGAAAAAATCAATATTTTCTTTCTGCCCTCCAAGGTTCCCCTGTATCTTGTCACATGTACTGAGGGTCTGGCCCCATATGACTTGGTAGTAAAGTCCCTGTAGGGGGTCTGGTACACTTCTGTTTTGTGGAGTAAATTTGCAGTATTTCTTTACTTGGAGTTGTTTTTGATATGTGCTGCATTTTTCTTGAATTTTTTTATTTTTTATTATTATTATTTTTGACTGTTTTTGCTTCTGTCTAGTTTTTGCATTTGTCATTTTGTGTTTTGGAGTTAGCATCATGGGTTTGCAGCAGTGGCGGATGCTGGTCTTTCAACAAGAGGAAGCTCAGTTTCGGCCTACATTATAAAATGTGTGGGTTATAAATTCTACCCTCTGTTCCTTTTCAAGAAAGTGATCTGTGACCCTGTCACAGATCCTTTTTTTTTTAGTTTATAGTACATATTCATTTCATTTTAAAAAAACATTACATACAACAAAACAATACAAGTA